AAATATGATGCCTTGTTTTCGCTGTCTACTGTTTGTAGTCCTGAGATTAACAGTGTTAAATTTAACCTTGTCTGGTTTAATGGTGTGGAAGAAAATGATTGTATTTATTCAGCAGAGCTATGCMTCTATCTTATGCCAGATGTGCTTGTCCCTTTGATTCAAAATCCTACAAGTTTTTCATTTTTGTCATTCGGAGCAAATATTTCTTGAACCTATGAATGTGTCCTAAAATTAAAATGGGCAACACCCTGGCTTTTTATCTCCTTTTTTTWAAAATTAGGTGTTGCATGCACCAGGACAACTGTTGGTAGATCCCCACCAACTTTGTTGTAACTTTCTGGTAGTGTATCTAATCTTTTAAAATTAATACTTTAGTGTGTATTGCATATGTCTGTCTGACTGCCTGGATAGGCAGGGAAATAATTTGTCYAGTCTTTATTCTGTGATAAGTGAACTGTTATCCAGTTTCACTTCAGTTTCCATCTGCTTCCCATATTATCTTGTTGTAAAGTCATAAAACAGGGCTGGAGAAAAAACAATTAAAAATGCTAAAGAAAAACATTCTTCTTAGATACTGGTTTTTTTCAGCAAAGATTATTGTGGACTGTAAAGATCTTTATAAACAAAGTGTTCTTTACTGTGTCAACCTTCTAGCTAATTATCAAAGAAACCTTAATAAGAAGACTGCTCTGCAAATTAAAGCAGTTTTTAATCAATCATCAAATATACTAAGTTTGGCCCTCAAAACTAATTCTTGATACCTCAAATGTAATTTGTATAATTCTGTATCTGAAGGGAATTATGGAAAGACTTGGAAAAGGATTTTTATTTTTAAAATGATGTCTATACAGCATTATAGCTAAAATGAGAAGGCTTTAAAAAGCTCTTTTTTCTGTTCTGTGACTTTACATCTGTCAGGATCAAATTTCTCCTAGTTCTCTGTATCGTGGTTTCTCAGATAAATTGRGATGGGAAGATCCAGTGAAATCCTGCTTTTGGATCCAGTGCAGATCTGGAGGTGCCAGGGACCAAACTCAGCAGCCTCCCTGAGCTATTCAGGGCTGGAGATGCTCCCTGCTGAAGAGTCAGTCTTTGGAAGGACTCATTCATTGCTGGCCTCAGCCAAAAAGCCTTCCTGCMTGTCCCTGAAAATGTGGTCTTCCCATCATGGTCAGATCACCTACACATGCCAGCAATTCAGATGTGGCTGTTCAGCTCTTGTTCAGTTGACAGCAGACCTTTGTCTTGGCAAAGRTATCTTCTGGCCTTACATACTTGGTTGATTTAGAGAAGGTACTAAATTACAGGCTTGTTGTAGCAGTTCAAATCTATGTGGCTGTAATGGCCAAAATGCAATGAGACTTAAAATTCTCCAAACTGTGACCAAAACTTATTTTTTATTAGCCCTGCAACAGAAATGCAAAGCTTTCTTCATGAGAGAGGAAGAAGAAATACAGCTCAAATCAATGATGAGCTGTGCAGTGAAGTATCTTTGAGCTGTAGCCTCGAGAAGAGATCTTTGCTCCTTGTGCATCCTTAGACAGAGCCTGTGGCATGGAGAGGAGCCTGTGGGGTGACCTGTGTCAGATATGATGCCATGAACTGTGCTTGCTGCAGGTGAAAGGGGAGCTCTGTAGCCAGTTTCCGTGGTAACTGGTAGGCACCTGCAGCTCGCTGACGCAGTAGTGGATCTGTCCTTGTCTGTGCACAGAGCATTCAGTGATGGACATATGTAGCTGTCCTAGAAAAGCCTTGGCAAAGGGTTGATTTTATGGAGGGCAAGCCTTTTTCCCCTTTCTGACAAGACATTTTCACTTCTGTTGTGTTGAACTCTGTTCCTCAGTTGATRTAGCTTGTATTTGGAAATATTGAGGATAACTTTTATTGTCCATTTGAAATAGGTCTTTCTTTTGTGTTACAGTTTGCAATGAATCTCCAGACTCACCCAAATTTACCTCTAGTTTTGCTRCTGCTKGAGGTTCTGTTTTRGTAGCTTGATGCTTGCAGGAAGAARGAAAACATACAAGCCCATGAACTTGTAAGGTCACAGAAAGCAGTTTGCTAAAATCATAAAGACACAAGACTTTGAAAAGATAAATTCTGTTCTTTATATGATGTGCAGTGTAGGAAGAAGGTTGGTTTGAGCATGAGGCTGGATTCTCTAGGATTACAGTTTGTAATCTGATCTTGTGTATCTGCTYCTTTTGTGGTGTCTTGCTATGCATCCTGAAACTTTGGTCTACAATGCAGATACTGCCTGAGTGAGGAATGAGTGAGGATTTGTCAGGATGACAGAGTTGAAAATTAATTCTTGGTTTGAGATACCTGGAACTGTTTCTGAGATTTATTCTTCAAACCAGTAGTTTTAGCACTCTTTGTGCTGCTAAACATTGAGACGTTTCATTTCATGAAAGAGTTAATGACTCATCGAATCATGGAATATATTGAGTTGGAAAGGACCTGTTCRGATCATCAAGTCCAMCACCTGGCCCTGCACAGATCACCCCAATCACACCATGTGCCTGAGAGTCTTGTCCAAATGCTGCCTGAATTCAGGCAGGCTTGTTGCTGTGACCCCTTCCCTGGGGAGCCTGTTCCAGTGCCCAGACACCTGCTGGGTAGATGTCTTTTCCTGATGTCTAATCTAAACMTCCCCTGACTCAGCATCATGCCATTTCCTTGAGTCCTGTCACTGGTTATGAGAGTGAAGAGATTGGTACTTSCCCCTCTGTGAAAAGAAAAAGTAGAATTAGAAATAAAACATTTTCCAGATTCCTGGAAGGTTTCTGGTGTGTGTAACTAAACCTGTCTTACAGTCCTTATGTGACTGCCAAACAGAAGAGATAGATAATCAAGTTTTGTGTGCTCATATAAAGCTGCCTAATATGCTTTAACCTTCTTTCTTCCTCTCTGTTGTTRAGCATCAGTAATGTTAGCACTAAACAGCTGGAAGCAGTTTTATCACTTTGCAACAGTGCCTGGCCATGTACCGCAAGGCAGGGCCTTCTGAAGCCAGGGAATGCTGGCAATTGCAGTTCAGCCTTTTTATGTTCACTGGGACATCACGCCTTTAACCAATCAAGACTGGTGAGCTAACAAGTGAGAGGGACCTCCTGTTGTCTTCAGTGGTTTTTTACTTCACAGCTTCCAGAAAAAATGATTACTACTACAAAAAAAAATCCCAACCCAAAACCTCAGCAYGGCACTTAGAGAAGTGCCTGCAGAGAATATAAATCAAATTGGTCACTAGACAGACCATAAGCTTTCAAAAGCTTTGGATGTTTTTTTCCAGAAATAAAAACAAAGGACATTTTTAGAAATGTTCTAATAGGTATGATTTTTCTTAGATGCTGATGTAGGAGCAATCAGTATAAACARAGTAGGAAAGAACAGAAGAAATGTCAGATTCACCTTTGAAAACCAAAGAAGCATTTTGATAACCAAATAACAGATTTCTTGTCTTGTTCTGAGCTTACACTGCTTTKTAAACTTCAGCTGTCCAGGTGTTTCCTCAAAATTGTGTTAATTTAGACCCATTTTCTGCACACTTTCATCTGGTTTTCATGTAGAGTGTGGTGGAGTTTCTGGTGTGTAACGCTGGGTGCTGTGTTGGAACACGTTTTTGAAGTGTTCATCAGTAAATACGTTTGAAGTAAATGTGAAGTAATTTTTTTTCAAACTTTGGCAATATAAGGACACTTAAATCTGTCATCAACACTTTCAGCAAATCCTACCTTCTCTTGTAAGTTATTTTAGAAAAAGACTAATTAATACAGCCATGGACAAGCAGTTAATCTRTCTAGGGACTGATTGCAGCTGTTGAATCCCTTTCTCAAAGGCTTGCCAGTAGTGTCTGGGAGAGTAGAACGTGGATTTTGTTCTACTGAGGTCCATGATTGTCTAATGCCCATTTCAGAGGGCATCTGCTATGAGCAAAGAACTGATGCCTTTATGGGCACAAATCTCTGTTTTCTTGTTTATTTAAGTCTTGATGTAAATATACACTGAGCACAAGTGATGTGATTTGTATGATGCACCATTGAGTTTTGATGTTACTAGATTAGCTGTAAATTTTGCTAAATATGTGCAAGAAGATAATAATTTCAGTATGCCCTAAATTTGCTGGATATTAAATCACTACCAGGAAGACTTTAGAGGAGGAGAAATGGATGGAATTCTGGRGCGGGATGCAGTAGGGGGAACTTGGTTCTTTATCTGGCTCTTGGTTGATCTTGGACACATGGCTTTCTCTTTTTCTCTCTATTTTTTTCTCTCTTTCTCTCCCTCTTTTTCTCTCTCTCTTTTCGCTCTCTTTTCTCTCTTTCTCTGTCTTCTTCTCTTTTTCTCTTTTTTTATTTTTTCCATCTGCTAATGTAGTGGATTACCTCTTAGCAGATCTCTTAAACAGAAAAGTTTGAAATCTCCAGATAGAATTAACAGCCAAGTCTTGTCTAGGGTTATTATTCAGTGAAACATCTGTACAGGGTGCTGATAACAACAAGGCATAATTTTCGTTATTCCCAGATAAACCTCATGTCATTTGCCTTGACTGCTGTTCTATTTTTGGTATCTTATCCACTTTTTTTTAAAGTCTTAAGATTCTTAAAACAGACCAGATACTTTCACTTCATTGAGCTACTTCATTGTTCTTAMATGCCAGAGATCATGATCCCAGAAATGTAGATGATAGCCCTGAGTAGAGCATATGAAAAGCAGGCACAAGAATCATGGATTTGCTGCAAGAATAACTTCAGAAATGGTATTAGCAACAGCAGTATGTGTGTGAATGTGTTACATGATGAGATGGGAAGAATCCCAATTAAAGTGTTKTTGCTAAACAAGTGACAAAGACCTTGCAAACAGTATGAGAATCTAGGCCAACTATGGTTATATTAATAATAAATCAGATCTGGTCTGATACCTCCTTCACATAGGGTTTTTTCACCTATTGTCATTTTTCTAACTTCACTTTCGTTTGTGATGCTTTTTTTTCCCCCCAGCATTTACTAAATGCTGTCAAGAAACTGGTCTTCTGATGGTGGTGAAGTGTCGTCAGGAGAACACAGCACTGCARGACTGTCTGGTTGGCCAGTAAGTCCCTCATGAGTTTTTGCTGGATTTTTGTGCATGGCCTATACTAATCTAGAAATGTTAAACATTCTGAAAAGGGTTGTGCAGGGTTAGGGACTTGGATGTATTATCTGAAAATGGTATCTTTGCTTTATTAAAACTGTGCTGGTCAGGGCCCTAACTGGCAAAATTTATTTACCATATGAATGTAAATACAGAGACTCTCTTCTTCATTCACCTGGTGACAGATTTCAGCCCAGAAGACCTTTATTTGCTCTGGTACATCACATATGTGGGGGGATAGGAGCAAACAGTGAAGCTCCTTCATAATCTGTTAGTGAGATAGAATAAGCTTGTTTTCATTTTGTTTCTGTKTTTTTAAGATTTAGTCTGTCTTGAAAGTGTCCTGCTGTTGTGAACAGCAGTAGCAGCAGCAGTGGGAAATYGTTAGATATTAGAGAGGTCAAGTCAATGCCATGGTGGATTGAAACATCTATTTTGGAAGTCCTAATTTAGCCCCAGTGCCATTAGCCTGAAGTGTTAGATCCTTGGATTTCCCAGGGTGAGAGCTGGGGATTTTTTTAAGTTTGGGGGGAAAAGGAGGTTGGTTTGATTTTTGTTGTGTCCTGCTCTCTTAAACCAGTGATTAAAATTAAAAACCTTTGAACTAGTGAGAGTTATCCTCAAGTATTTAGAAACTGATGGAAAAAAACATGCGCAGCCAGGTAAGAATTCAGGCCTAACTGCAGTCAGAACTTGCTGGAGTTACTCAGTTTTATTTGTCTATACCTTTACTTTTTCAAAAAAAATGAACCAAATGCTTCTGACAAAAAAAGGTCTATAGTGTTTGAATAGTTATACTTTAAAATATTATGAATTTAAAGTAATGATCAAGGACATACATATCTACTGTTCAAGACATACACTTGAACCTATTTCCAGTAGTTACTTGGGTACATTAAAAGARTAAGTCAACTCCAGCAGCTTTCCATGCTGAGGATAACTGCAAATAAATTCTTCAGCTGACCTTAAATACCAAATGTCTTCCCTTTTTCTGCCTTTCCTCTTGGGGGCTTAACTGCAGAGGCTTGAAAAGGGCTGTGCTTCAAGAGAGAGTATCATGACAGTATTTAGAGTTTACAAAGGTAATGTTACATTTAGGTACTTTGTAAAAAAGGTATTTTACTGTTCAAGGCAGACAAGTTTTCTTTCGGCATGAAAGGAAGATCAATTTTGAGTGTTACTCATGCAATATCTGTCCCATGTTCCAAGATGAAAGGAAATATGTATTTTTCTGTCTTGTAGCTATACTGATCCATCATTCTATGAAGAATGCAAAGCAGAATATTTGAAGCAAAGAGAAGAATACAGAGCAACTGGAATTAAGAAAAAAAGACAGAAGTTTACTTCAAATGTGTGATTAAAACTTAAAATCAACTTTTCAAATTTTATATGCAACTTGGATTTCACTTGATTTAAACAGACTTAAATCACTGAACCTCTCTGTGTGGAGTTTAACTGAAATACACAAAATAAGATGGAGAATAAAATAATACCTGAAAYTAAGAGTCAATTTTAAAACTTCTGGTAATTAAAGATGTAAAGCATGCTGTACACAGTTTGCAAAAGAAATTGCAAAGGTCCGTTCCTCTATCTGGACTTGAGGTTTTGTTACCAGTGTACAGTTTGGAGTTTGCAATTCCAGATTGTTGATTTGGAATTTAAAGCCTGTATCTAGCTCCATGAGCCAGGCTGCATAAAAACTTAAGGGTGAATAATTTAAGTTGTTGTAACTGATCACAGATTGAGTATACATTGAAAAACAGTCTGTTAGTCATCATCTCAAGCTGTGTATGGAGATGCACTTTCTAGAAGAGAAGGGTGGCARATGCAGAAGTGCTGCTCAGACCAAYGTGAATTACCCTTTTCATCAAAATGTCAGTTGAGAGCCTGGTAGTACTTGTGCCTGCACTGTGACTCATTTTTAAGTCTACACTGTCAGAAGGGATGGATGTCTTGTGCTTGTGCGTGGTCCAGACTGACCATTTTGACTCTAGAGGAGAAAGCAATCTCATCCAGACCTTCCTTGAGAACGGGATAGGCTGCCATGCTTCAGGAGTGAGCAAGTGACCACACTTGCAAAATTCTTGCAGATAGAGGTCAATAAACCTGGCCTGTAGGATGGAGATTACCTTTTGCAGGAATTAAGTGTAAAACAAGTCAAGCTCAAGCATTTTGGAAAACAAAAATATTCCCAATTCATTGTTTTGCTGTCTGTATTTTTAAAAGGAGGAAATTTAAGGTAGATAGTGATGTGTTTTCAAGGAAAGTGAGTGTTCTGTTAGCCCACAGAGAAAATCTGCTACAGTTTCAACACCTGGGAAGCCAGCCTGGGTGTTCGTTAAGTATTGGCAAAAGTCCTTCCCAAGAGGGTTTGGGTGAGGATTCTCTTAGGGGCAATGCTGGGTGCTGCCAGTGCTGGGTGCCTGCACTGAGGGCTCACTTTGGTCAGTGAGCACCAGCACCAGCAAGGGGGAGGGTGTGTGTGTGTGTGTGTGTGTGTCTCCTTTTCTGGCTCAGCAGAAATTGCATTCAGCAGGTGAGGGGGGAGCCCCAGTGCAGTGACCAGGACTGTAGGGGAGGGATGAATGCATGGAATGGGACAAAGCCCAGGTGACGCTGCAGGTATTGCTCCCCACCTTCTATACAGGCTGTATAACAACTCACTTCCATGGTGATGTCACGCCTGAAATTCCATGTAACGAATGATGAGGTCAGCCATTTATTTTTTTTCCCACATCTGGATTATTGCAGTTCCTCTTTGCCCTGGGATGCACTTAGAGCAGGGATTGGCTCTTGGATTGGGCATCAGCTTTCTCTGTAATACACCCTGGCCTTAATGTGATGTTCCTTAGGCACTGGTCATGGCCATTGATGGAGGAAGGCCTTAAAACTCAAAGGCTGATGTGTCACTGAATATCCTTGCACACATCTGTCCCTTTCCCTGCATCACAGGGGCCTATCTTTGCCTCTTCAGTGTACTTGGCAAGCACTGAAAACACCCCCATTTTTCACCAGAGGCTGCACTCTCTTTCTTGTACTTAAAGTCTCTTCAAACTCCTGAGGGGATGTGAGATCTGAAAGGAAGGAGAAGGTGCCATATACTTAATTAAAAGTTTGCCTTCACAGAGTAAAATCCAGACTCAGAGGGAACATGAGGGGCAGTTTGTAAAGCATAGGGTTTTCAAAGGGGAGTGTAACAGCTGACCACTTCAGTCTGAGACATCACCCAGAAATTTATCTGCAAGGCAGAAACCCATTCTGCTTCACATTTAATACAGCCATATTCCTCCTCAGGTAATTCCTGCAAGCAGTTGCTGTGTCCTGTTTACTCTGCTATCAAAAAATGGTCAAACACACTTGCAATGTAACCACACCTAGCTAAATATGGGTTCAGTAACAGCAAGCACCTGGGTGTTATTTGCATGCTTCTCCCTAGATATACCAACTATATTCAAACATGAGCACTGGGCCACTTCAATGACTGTATCTTAATGTTTGAACCACTTGCTCTCTTCCATCTTGGAATACAATTAAATTAACTTTCCTGGACACTGAGCTCACAGGGTGGGTTTTTTTTTTTTTTTTTTTTTAATAGCTAAGCTGCAGCTCAGCTAAAATTGGTGTTTATGTTTACTGCTGATCTTAAAAAAATAAAATGCTTTCATCCACTGTCCTATGTTCATATAATTGCAAGTAGTAACATGATTCTCCCTTAAAAAGGATCAAAARCCTGACTGCTCAAGACCCCAAAAAGTAATACAAAAAACATATCAGAAGTCCACATGCCCTTTTGCCTTTTTTATASCCAAACTACACAAAGAATCAGGGAAATACCTTACACCTCTGCAATCACTGTTCTTCACAGGGCTTGTCTGAAGATCAGAAGATAATAGAGGTGTCAGTCAGGGAGCAGRGCTCTTTCCTTGCCCTTTACCAGGCCACACAATCATTAAAGCTACAGGTGTCTCAGCATAGGAGCGTCAAAGTCTACTGCAAGTTGGTTTTGGAAAAAATTTCAATCTGCTTTATCTCACCAGTACAGTTCACATGATACTTACATGTGCCAGTGTTTCATTACTTGGAATGGGTATTGTTTTACTGTAACTCCACCATATGTCTCATGCTGCTCTTGTCTTTTTCCAGCTGTAAAAATTGGACAGTGCATCACAGCTAATTTGGGAGTTTGCTTTCTTCAATATGGSTAATTCACATGTGAGGAAAGCTGATCAGTTGTAAACCACAAAACTGGCAGGGAAACTTAAAACAGATTTAAAAAAAATTAACCAAACAGTGCAAGTTTACATATAAGTTATTAGAAGGTTCATCCAACTCACCAAATACCCAAATACATATTCATCAGGTTGCCATATGCTCATTTAAATGTGCAAAGCAACAACCTCCTCCTGCCCCAAAGGCTGGCTTTCATTTCTGTTAAATGGAGCTGGTGCTTTCTTAAATTGAAATTTGTCAGATTGGTGGGGGATGGGGTGAGGTTTTAAAATCTTCAAAGTTTGCATTCAAGTTAAAATTTTCTTGGGGTCATTTAACATAATTATTGAAGGACTTTGGTTCTTGCTACATGAGATTTTACAGTTTTATATAACACATGCACCCAAACACCAGAACCCCGTCACTACAGCTAGTTCTGCATGTAATTTGCTGTCACTTTGATGAAAAGGTTTCACTACTGAAAATRGAAAAAGCAATGTAAGCCACTAGTGGCATGGCTTTAAATGACTTTTCCATCTTCAGTCAAAATCTGATTGTAAGCTTCGGACCAACAGATGCTTCACAAGCCAACAAGCTCCCAAGTGACTCCAAATCTGGGGACTTCCTTTTCAARTGTTACAGCTTGGACATGGCAGTGAGTGATTGGATTGGAAATACTGCCTGCAGCAAGCTCTCCAACATCAGTCCCTCTTCTCCCTGGTTATCAGCAGTGCTGGTGAAGTCCCTCCCAGCAAACATTGCTGCTCCCGTCTCCAGCATGGGAAGAAATGTAGAATATAAACCAAGGGTCAAATGCAAAACCTGGAAATTCTCAGGCTCTGCACAAAAAAGCTTAATCTTTCACACAGGACAGGACAGGACAGGATGACTGGGAGCCTTTTGACAAAAGTAGTTAAAGCACCGTAGCTTAAGGTAACTAAATCCTTCAGCTTTCAACATCCAGGAGGGCACTTTTCCCAGAATATGCTGAAGCAGGCTATAGCACAYAGCTGTTTTTTTTTCCCTGAATCAAAGTAGATGAACCTCAAGTCTAATTGTTTGTATTTGGAATAACATTTATACACAATAGAGGAATTAAAACATTAGTAAAAAATGTTGTGCCAAATACAGAAAGGAGATTTGTTAGTGAAACCAATTTCAAACAAAAATAAATTTATTTAATATCTTACACAGTAGAATTCTGTCATTGCACAAATAGTGTTAATGCTTGTTGGATATTACATTCCTTAATAAAAAAAACCTCTGTAATGTCAAGATGGGGAACCCCAAAAGTAAGCTACATTAGAACTAGGTACCATATAGCTTATGCAGCCACACAAGAAATGTTTTCTTTGTTATTACATAGGTAGTTGGTTCTATCAGCTAAAGCCTAGTGACTTGGATTTGTTTTATGCATATTGGATTTTGTTCTATTACTTTCCAAGAGATTGTACTCCCCTGAGTCAGCTGTGTTCATTGGTCAGAATAAATTCCAGCATCTGACACCATTTCCATTAATCACAGACAAGCCAGTATATGTGAGCAAGATAATAGAAAGATAAAAACAGTATCTGCTGAATGGGAAACATTATTTATGTATGCTGTTTGCAACAGGAGAACGTATCTGGAAGGCATTTTTTTGCCTCTGACAGACAAACTGAAAGATGGGCTCTGTCTCAAGTACTTACTGTGCAGGGAAGAGTGGAACCACACAGGTGATGTAGTACCCTGGTAACACTTCTACAGCCCATCATGACTATGGCTGTGCTACAGTCATAGCTTCCCCATGTATTTGCAAGCAATCTTAACATAATTTGCTACTAAACAGCTGTGAAATTCATTTTTTTTACTTTGATGTTAAGCTGGATCTGTGAAGCTGAATACTTCACCCACCCACACATCTGTAAATAGCATATTCAGTATTAAATATCTTACTGTCCATTACAAGTTAGGTATCATGGATCTAAAACATAAAGTGTTTTTCTTCACTTTTTGAGCAGTCAAGACATTTCACTTAATCCTGTTGTAATAAGACAGATATGAAGCAGATTTTTTAAAAAAAGGAGGCATAAATTGTATTTGTCCAGAAACAGTTCATAGCCTTAAGAGAAAAAAAAAAAAGTTCCTAGACATTCATAACCTATTAGGCAGGTAGCTGCAATTCTAGAAGCTCTAGTTCTCAGTGGCATASTAAAGATAACACAAAAGTACTTCTTTTTGTATGTCAACAATGCAACACCACCAAATCCAATTAAATTAAGGCTTTGTTTCTTTAACAAAAGGAAAGTTAGAAGCCTTCACCACACTAACAGTCAAAAGCTGTGGTGCTGTGCAAAGGAGGCACGATAAGGAAAGGAAAACTGCACTGTGAGCAGGCTGAGTCTGTGGCAGCACCGCTGTGCACAGAGTTCTATCAGCTTCCTTCAGCAGGAACTGAGGGAAACAAGCTGAACCTCCAGGATTCACAGTGTTCAGCAGCACAACTTGCAGTCCTTCAGAATTCACAATCAAGCCCCAGTAGGACAATCTAAACAGGATAGGCTTGGGGTGATTTTTTTTCTTGCCACTATCTCATAAATCAAGGCTGAAAAAAAAAATCAAAAATCTCACCTTTCTTGGTTAAATATTACAGGAAAGTGCATTTCCAAACCAGAGGAATCAAAGCTAACTGAAAGGAAGAAGGAAGAGAGAATCCAATTCTTCATATTATGTCATATTCTGAAAAAAAAGCATTGTCAAAATAYAAGCTCAGAGCTGGTCCAAGTTTTAACACAGGATACCAAGTATTTTCTTCATAATATATAAATAGGAAACAAATACAGAACTGGATTATTTTGTTTTATTCCACGAACTCACTTTTCAGTGTATCCTTTTGCAAATGTATGTCATCTGCAGTACAAGACTATCTGGGCCCCACGCTAGATTTCTTTATATTTACATTATACCAGCACAGCTTTAACATAAAGGAATTCGCTCCTGATTAACAGCAGAGGAAGACTAGGCTTTCTGATTTGGAACTGGAATTAAAAATAAAGAAAGAACATTTCAAGCAACTTGTTTTCTCTTCTGAAAAGTTCAAGCATTAAGGTGCCTATTCAAAATCACTCCAAAAATGCCTCAGTTCATTCTAAAAATTGTTTAACTCTTGTGCAGACAGTTTTGATTACACTGATCCAGGTAATCTGCTGGACAGTTTAACAAAGTTGGATTATTTTTCATTTCCCAGAACATATTCTCATTGGGCTTTGGAGGACTTGGGAATACCCAGGAATTATCTTCCAGAGAGCTCTTTCCATAAGAATGGTGTTCCTGAAATGTTTTGCCATCAGCTGGACTTGGTCTCTCATCTGTCCATGCTTGTAGGGTCACCCTTTCTGAGGGGACACGGACGTCYCTCAGCAGAGGGGGAGACACGGCGTTGCCGAGGACTTTGTCGTTTTGTGAGAGGTTTTTATAGACTACCCCAGATGTCAAATTCAGCTTTGAAATGTTCAAGTCAACACATTGCACTGGTGCAGTAGAGGCAGCTGAAGGAAGAAGATAAAAAAAAGATTTTAAAATTACATTATCTAATGCATTTTTCATGTACTCCAAATGTACTACAGTCTAGCAGGGATGTTAAACACAGTTTCTTCAAGCCACAAGTTTTCAGACCATACTCAGTTACTTGAAAGGTACAAACRACATACTACCCTCACCAGTCTCAAGATGAACCTGAAATCCTGAAATCACAGTATCTAAAATATACCTAACTCCAAGGAAACCTCCCAACTCCCATTTCCATACAGATAAACTGATGGATCTTTCTGACCAGACTAGAATGAATGCTGCTTTCTATTCTACTGATTTTTTTAACAAGTTGTGTTCTCRGGTCACCCAGAACCTGAATTCTCACTGCCCATGAAGCAGTAAGAGGGTGTTCACAGGTTCTCTGTGCTTCCCTATTGTCTGAGTTCCAAAAGTAAAGTGACAGACTGCAATGTTCAGACATCTGAAATTCCAGGGGAGTTTAAAACTGTTAGGAAGGGGGGGATTTTGAAGCAGAACAGYATCTACCTGAAATGGAAGAGCTGTGCCTTCAATACACCTCTGAACAGCAGGCCAAATACAACCAGGTCATTTTATTTTCTTGTGGTAATGTACAAACGTGTAAGGGGAGTAGATTAATGCCTCCTGTAGCTAAACTCACATTTTACATAGAGTTTTCTAGAGCAGCTGTGAATCTCTAGGATGAACTGCTATTTTTAACTTCAGTTCTTAAGGAACAGAAAAAGAAGCTGGTGTCTTGGTCAAAGAATACAACTTCTGTTTGTCACTATAAATCAAAATTTGTGGATGTTAGCCAAAACCACTTACCAATAGCATGGACATCATGTCTGAAAGACATGCTAAGGCACTGGATTTGGACTCCTAGTGCTGGCAGGTATAGAAAGCAATTTAAGGCCTACAGACCTTTAAAAGTTCAAGAAAAATTGAATCCACTGAAAACAGACTGAAAATGTAAAAAAAAAACCCAAGAGAACAAACCAAAAAAACCTCAGATACACATTTGTTCAAAATGCTTCTATACATAACAGGTAAGTATAATCYACATGTTAACTGATCCTGTTCATGTCCCACACAGAGTACTGAACACATGTTCTGCAGACTCAATGCAACTCTGACAATGGCAGCTGGTTTGTAGATGCTAAAATAGCCAGTAGTAGAGGTAGAGGAAGTGGAAGGTTTTGGATCTGTACTGCATTCATAAGTGTGGCTAATGACCAAGATCAGATCTGTCCACTCTCACATACTTCTGAAAAATTACTGAAAAACGTCTACAGATGAAAAGGCAAAAAGTCCACTGTTTCCTGATCAATCAAGAATGCCTTCTAAGGCTGTGGATGAACAACTGCATTACAACTGCAGAAAATGAGACTRTTCACCAAGGAAAAGAGAAAAATCAGCACTTGGGTAGTGGCAACACAGGTAACTCCAAATTAAAAATAAGGGCATAAAGAYAGTATATGATCACATCAAACCTTGACAGATTTAAGATTCCTTAGACYAATTTCAGTTTACAGTTTCTTTGCTTATTTGACAAATGCATTTTAGAATTGTAAGAACACAGACTCACCTGGTAACAATATGGCCAAGTGTACAAAAGGGGTTGATAGTTTGTATCAGCCAAGTACCAGAGACAAAGTGATCATTAGTCAATRCTGACCACAAAGGCAGGGACTGCTCAGCAAGTGAATCCTGTCATTTCCTCACTGAGCTGTTTGTTTAGAAACAAAATGTCTTGATCTGGGAATGGACAGGGACATCAGAGAGTGTCACCAGTACACTGTAACCAAGGTCACTGTCTTYCACCAGTATTCTGAGCACAGTAAGGACCACAATTGAAGTGAGCAGAAAACAAAGGAAATTAGCTGGTTACCACAGTTCGACTGATAGTCCAGCATTTGGCTTGAAAGAAACATTATGTATGAAAYAGAACAACTGTCTGATGAACTGCTCAGAGATTTTACATACTTTATGGGAAAAATATTTAACCCTTGAAATGATTTAAGGCAGTTGTGCTTCCCCAGTATTCTGACATTCAGAAAATGTCATACTGTATAGTATTTTGCTAGAAAAGACAATTTTCTGAACACCAACAAAAAGAAATATGGAACCATAATGAAATTTCAGTCTATTAAAATCTAATTTAGAAATTTTGCCAATTTAATACTTCATATATTCTGTACTGGGAAAATAAAGACTGCATTTGCAAAAAGATTTTTTTTCCCCCTAATATGAAGTAGTTGTGGTAAAAGGTCAAATACGAGTAAACTTAACACCTCAGCCTTGTGCACATAAGCAACACTTGACTGAGAAAAAAGCCACAAGGGGAACAGAATACAGTACTGGAGAAAAAAACACATCAGCAACACCTTTATGTGTGAAGTTGACCAGTATGAGACAGAAGCAAAAGCAGAAAATGGGTAAGCTGGAACCATAATATACAGTCTAGCTTATCAACTTCAATTGATGAGATTCTGAYAAGATATGATAGCTAGTTTATTTTTGAAATGCTGCAGCTTTAATCAATGTTTTATGTTTGTAAGGTCTGTTACTACAAACACTGACTTGCCTTTCTTGGCTCCTGTTGGGTTCCTTTTCAGTTTTCGCAGAACCTCAGCTTGCTTGTCAGTCACTACACGCAAATTAGACATTTCTCTCTTCAGGTCCCAATATGTTTGTTGCAAACTTTCAAAACAAAAAATTTATTACAAGTTAAATATTGCTGCCTCTAAAGCAGCCTATTAACATGCTTATCATATTAACTGTCAATATACTGTTCTTGCCTGACATACACTGCAAGTTTTGTTAAGAGTACRATAACTCTAAATGGTCTGAACAGTATTGAGAATTACCTTAAATGTATAGATCTGTGTATACTKTATTTGATTCTTGCCTATTACAATATACAACACATTATATAATGACACACTAGGTAGTAACAGCAATTTCAACTCCTTAAATGCAAAGAAATATGAAGCATACTTTTCTACTTGAAACTAACCGTCTTCCAATAAAATTAGTCATCTCAAAGGAATACTTTATTTAAAGTAACACCAGGTTCTAAAAAGGGCAGAATGTTAACCTTAAACACCTTTCAATAAATGACCACACACAGCAATACCTATTACAAGCCTAGCAATATTGAWTGACTGTAACTTTAAATAATCAACTTTAAATATTTGGGTCTTACAASCATCCATGTTGCTGCACAGAATTCAGACTAAATACTTGAGACCCAAACTGAGCATCCACATACAGACCAAACTAAAATATAAAACATACTGTTTCACATTCAAATAATCTAAYTTATATTGATATACTGCCTTATTAGACAGTGTGAAAAATAGTGACCCAATTCATTCTCTAAGACAGCATAATTYGAGAAACATATTTAGCAACAGCAGCACTGTTCCAACACTGATGTTTCAGGTTAGTAACTGGTAAGAAAATCAAGGAAAACAAAAAAAGTAAGAGAAGTCAGCATTACCATATGTTTCCTGGTAAAATTTCTAGCAGAGGCTCACTGAATATCACATTTATGTTGATTAATAATTAACTTAGTGTTCAAAGACATAAGGATGTAGTTAYTTCAATTTAAACATTAAATCAATGATTTAATACTTTTTTTAACATTCTACCAAAACACATTTTAATAAAGACAAATATCATGGGTGAGAGTTTCTAGAATATTTCTTCCTCACTACATTCACCCACAAAGCATTTATTTGGAAACAGCTATTGAAATGAGTAAGAATTAATAAGCTTTATAACTGTATTTTCAAGCACACTATCCTTCTAAAACAGCAATATAGGATCGCTGCTGCATGAAATATGTCAAGCACAAATGTGTTCAAAAATCACTCTGAGAAGCAGCTATTATGCAAGTCAGTGCTAAGAGAGTCCCCTTAAAACAAAGAAATAGAACTTCATGCATATAAATACTTCCCAGAAYACGAACATCCAGATTCAAAAAGCTCTGTTAAAGAACAGAGGATGCTGATAGTTTAACAGGTAACATAAGTGTCAGCAATTCTGACAGATATAAAGTTAAATTTTTTAGAATTAATGTTTCAAGAAGTTCAGCTAAACTTGTGGCTCTTCTACTGCAGACTTCTTTTGGCCCTTTCAACTCTTAAGAGATGGTAACTTTAAGTTGATGTGGCAATCACACTTCATTAATTCTTGTGTTTTAGTCAAAAAATAAGATCAAAACTTTAAGCTATGTCCAACCAGACCTGTCCAATATTGAACACAGAAGTAGTAAATATAAGGACAATTCAGTGTCTGCCACCAACCAGAACAAAAGTGCTTGAATGGAATTTTAAAGTGCATTTAGCCCTTTTACAAGCATCTTGCAAAGGGCTGCAGGTACCAGAATTCCACTTAAATCACATGCAATCCCATTTAATGGGATTTTTTAGAATCCCATTGCAAAGCCTAATTTTCAATGAATTTGTAATTGAAAACCTTATAAGGATTCCCTTGCTTGGAGGTTTAACCTATACTGCCTTTCAATATGTAATACGAACCTCCACTATGACAGCATGTCTAAATGTACAGCAAATTAGATTTGCAAACTGAGAATTTAAAGTCAGATTTGCAGGCAACTCACAAATATGAWATAACTACTTTCCAAAAAGTAAACTAAATGCAAATGCCTCCATTTCCCATAAAAGGCAGGATTGCTTACTACAAAAGCATTTGTCATAGCAGGTTTTCGAGTGTTTTTTCCACAGATTTTTGGATGGGCTTCTATATTCATTACACATTCACTATTTATSTTATATTGCAAAAAACACTATACTGTACATATGCTGTTTTAGATGGCTGCCACCTGAGCACCACTTTGTGGAATAAACCTGCTCTGACAGATGATCATGTGATCAAATGATCAGTTTGATCAGAGCAGTGATCTGATCAAAGAGAYAAAAGGTGTTCTCTCAAGATACGGAAGTTATCAGCCGTGTAAGGCTGACTGGGAAGCTCCAGCAGAAGCCAGGAATAAATATCCAGTCAAGGTGAAAGGACAAAGTGTGATTTGTGTATAGTGTGTGAATTATTATCATTACAGCAGAGAACATCCGATGAGAAATATSTGTACTTCTCTTTCAGTGACTGATTTCCCTTCGTGTCCCTTCAACACCCAAGGAAGCAGCAAGGCCCACTGCACTGAACCATGGCATTGTGAAGGGCCACTCTTCCCTCTGGTGGAAAATGGTGTAAGTGCACCACCAGGCATAACTGGCTGTTAAGTGACACAGCGTTTCATTCCCACAAGACAAAACATTTGCCAACTTCTGTGCATCCGTCAACAGTTCCATAAAGAACTGAAATACAGAGGTACCTTCTAATACAGTACACATACTCAAGGCATAATACAGGAGTTTGCATCATAAGCATAATTATTATTTGAATGGGTGCAAAATGAGAAAAAAAGCTTCTAATATTTTAGCATTTTTCTGGACATTGCTGTTTCTTTTGAGTAGGTCACACAACAACTCTACATTATTAAAAAAAATCTAGTAGAAATATTACTGCACCACAAAGAATGTATTCTAGCMCTAAGTGAGGGATTTACAAACACAGAAACCTCTCCATACACAGAATGAAGATACTCCATAGCTGGCATGAGACTTGGAAATTTATCTACCACCTCCTTCAGTCAACTAATTAAAAAAGCTGATTTTAAAATCCAAGTTAATTAATTTTCCTTTTCTGTACAACAATCTGGAGATATAATTGTTCATCATCGTCATCCTGAACTACAATCATAACAAATAAAAAAATTTACAATGATCTTACTAAATAAATATACCTAGACTTTGAATTAAATTATGGAACTTGAAATAACATACTTAAAGAGTCTGCAAGAGTAATTTACTTGTTCAAATAACTGTCCCTTAGTAAACTGAAAATAAAATGTTTCATACCTCTGGATGTCTTGCCTTTGAAGGTGGTCTCCATGTAATGGATTTTCCTCTTGAGTGTGGTCCTGCATAAAAAGAATAAAGACAAGACAGAGAATGAACAAACATGATTTCAGATCTTCTATCTCAAAAACCAGCAAAACTTCAAGTTCATTAATACTGAAATTCACAAGAAAAGCAGTCAYCATTTGTGTTAGCTGCAGCGGGTTTCAAAAGGGAAATGAGGCTTCTACTAAGAATTTGCATTTTAAAATGCTTAAACTACCTTCTTATATAAACACATTGCTCAGCCGCCTCCTCTTTTTTTAAAACAGCTGAACTCTCAGAATTCAAGACTGTTGTTGTCTTACCTTAAAAAAAGTTATTAATCTCAATTTTTGCTTTTTAAAGTCTTTCCTTGCTCCTTCTTTTCAGTATATAAAGATCTTTAAATGAAAGCAAACTGTTGCAGTATAAATTACTTCCACAAGTTACTTTTATGACAGAACATAATTTATCTCTTGAGTCTGAAAGACTACTTTAAARTTGCACATACAGGCAGCCTCACTGAATTTAGCAGGACTGTTTAACCAATCAAACACTAGTCTCACTTTGTTAGACACATTTCTGTTAGACCCTCACTTGTGATGAGCTATCTCCTTTTCATATATATCCCTTCTTTCCATATTCCCTTCCTACCATTCCTGCTAGTCACAGCTGTTAGGGATTTGATACTTGTTACTGTGACTTTATGACAACCTGTACACATTTCAAGCAACTTGTCAATATAATGTGCACRCTGCATCAAGTACAATGCAAAACTCCTGTAAGAATATCTAAAAATACAAAAAATTAGAAAGTACACTTGCCTAAAGTAGAAAACATTTGAAAACACTAATATAATTACAGTAGGTAATAATGAAAATACCAGTTGAGTATGAAACAATTCTATTTGTCATTGCCCATTGATCACACTTGACTGTATTTCACCTGACAGACTTTGTTCACCTCCTGAATTTTCTCACCATTCCCCATCAAAGATTCAAATTCAGAGTTAAAAAAAAGTTGTGTTGTATTACCCCACATTTGAAAACCTGCACCCTTTTATTTCCTATATTAAGCAGTTACCAGGATCGAGAAGAAATTACACTAAAAYAAACAAAAACCAATCAAACAAAAAACTAACAAAAACCCCCAAAACAAAACACTGTTCCCTGTATTTGTTCTATGCAACAAAAGCTGCTGCCATAAACATTATTTAAACCATGTCACGTGTAGCATTCCTTACAATTGCTATTTTAGTCTTTTCTCTCTGACATCATTCACTCTCACAATACAATCTGAAATCTTCAATTATTTATACAGCTGYTATTCTGCTCTAGAGTTACCCGTAGACACCAGAACTGCATACAAGTTACAGCAGGCCTTCAGATTTTACAAGTTATTGAAAGCACCTGAACAAGTGAAACCAGCAGTAAGGGAAGTTAACAAAACACCTYATGTGCTTTATCCCCACCTAGTGGAAAAAAATGCAGACTCGCTCAAATGCTGCGTGAATCAGGATTACATAATCACCATTATTAAAGATCATAATGTATCTAAAATAGTCTGCCTCCTCAAACCATCACATATRAATGTTTCATGTCCACTGTGTAAATTCAATGTGACTGCAGAGTCCTAAAAACTGCCACCATACCTTTCATCAGAGGTAAAATGGAAAGCAGTAAGAATGCACTAGGCAGTAACTTACTGCTTTTTGTTACTGTTATCTTTTTATTTTTTATTTTTTATTTTTTTTGAGATCCTAGCAACATCTAGGTTACAAAATTTGTCACTTAAAACAGACATTTACCCCAGAAATGGCAAGGAAAGGCACCAAAGAGGTCCTTTTCTGACAAGCTTCATGCGTCTACTCTAAAGAAAAGTGCCAGATCTCCTTAAATGAAGTTCACATATTTTAACATTAGCATTCCATTGTTCGAAAAAGAGGACCAGATTTTGCCCAAACTTTCTTAGTAGCCCAGCTTACATAGAAGACTTCAGTGGCTACTTATAAAAAAATCATAATCATATTTTCTGCTGTTATATGGGCAATGGCTGGGAAATCTCATCTGTATAGAATCATGGAATATCTCGAGTTGGAAGGGATCCCTGAGGATTAAGTTCAACTCCCTGCTCATTGCAGGACTACCTAAAACTAAACTTTATAATTAAGAGCATCACCCAGAGYCTTCTGAAATTTGGACAGGCTTGATGCTGTGAACACTCCCCTGAGGAGCCTGTTCCTATTTCCAGGAAAAATGACAGTCTATTAAAATGTTTCAGGTTAATTTTACCAAGATATTAATCTTCTACTCAATTATATATTTMATATTTTTGTTAACCTTTGATTTTGATTAACCATGGGATATAAAAGAAACCATTAATACAAAAGTTCCTTAAAAATTAAGGCACCTTCTGCTTGGAATTTTGCAGCTCCTTCCTGAGACTGTTGCACTCTTCCTTGAGTTTTTCTAGATCCTGTTCCAAACTGTGTACTTTCAGGTCACTGCTCAGCTTCTCTAATTCCCAGTTAGCCGGAGTACAATTCAGACTTTTCATCACTGTAAAGAAGACAAGCAAGACAATCAGATTCCAATCTCAGACCAAGGAATATAACACACTACACAGGACTCCCCTCAACCAGCCCATACCCTACAAAAAACATCATATTGTGAAGAAACTAGAGTCTGTGGCAACACAGAACTAGTAACACTGGTAAAGCTGTTGGCAGAGAAGTGGTCTATTTTCTGGGTTTAAAACATGGAGCCCAAATTTCTAGGAATGCACTGGAAATTCGAAATACAGAAAAAGGAAGTACCACCACAAAAAGTCAGTGGAAATAGAAGTATCAATTAATGGCAAACATACATCACATATGCCAACCTGCGTAGTTCTTACATACTTTGAAAACATGAGCTTTTGCAGATTTGTATTTACATAATTTAYCAGTTTGTCCCAAGTTAAATATCAAGAAGTTCCAAACAGAACAGCCAAAGATACAATCAAAACAAAAGGAGAAACCATGAAAGTTACACAATCTTATTAKACTAAACAATTCACATGGTAAGAAGCAACCATATTACCATCAGATCAGTAGGAGGACACTAGTAWGACAGCAAGAAAAGAAAGAACATGACAGAAAGAAACCCACAAGCCTTCAACTGCATGGTACACTTATTTCCAGATTTAATAGTTTAACAAGCTTAATGATTCTTTTCTTTAAACGAGGCACTCAGAGTCCACTTATGAGTAAAACTGAGTCACAAATAAGGATTGAAATCACCACATTTTCAGAGCTCTCCTTATAAACTCTGCAATTCTTATTTCCTAAAACAATGAGGTCCTCAACAGTGATACTAGGACTACCYGCAGTTTATTTTTCTAGGTTTAAACATTTGTTCCAGGTCCTCTTGGAGAGTAATCCAATTCAAGCACATCCATACTTACAAGTGGCTTACAAATGACTGCATATGTACAGACCCTGAAGTCAGTCCATCTCTCTGAATTTATACAGACAGCATTTTCTTGCTCTCTTTTCTTGTAACTAAATTAATAAAGGGKTTTTTTTTCTTCCATGGAGTTTTGTTTTACGCATCTATCATGTACACAGCACTCTTTACAACTGTGGTAACAGAAGCTGGATTTGGGCTTTTGGAATTGCCAGAATATACTGTTTGTTTCTCTCTCTTTTCACCAGGCTCTCTCTAACCAGCATTTTTCTATCTTTTCTCATTTCCCAGCTGTCAAAGTAACTKTTGGTGACTGCAGCTATTGCTATACAACATCCTCTTGCAACTGTTATATCCCAACAGTGAGACAAAGCGACATACTGGACCCTCTGCAGGCGCCACTGGAAGTGGGATTGACTGAACGTTCTTTATATTTGAACAGGCTCCTGCCCTGCTCTGAGGAAAAGGTTCTGGGTCCAGAGATATACATGACACAGCATCAGGTGGTGCCCATTTCTGAARTTATTACATCATCAGTGGAAGAAGACAATAGGCTCAGATCTTTACAGTGAAGCTCCTTATGATGACCTAAAACGCATATCACCATTCACAAGAATGAAGACAAGCTCAAAGTACCTCACTGCTGTACATGCCTCTCTTACCTTGTCCCCGCTTAGGGGACCTCTTCATACCCGAGATCACAGTATAACCATAGGGCTCCTCAACATAGGCTAAGGTGAAATAACCAATTGCATACCTTGCTGAGTTTCCACTTCAGTTCTTAGTTGTAACAGCTCTACTTCTTTAGACTGCAACTGTTCATTCAAGTTTTTCAAGGATTCTGCACTTTCTTTCACCTGTTTTCACAGAGGGAAAAACCCCAACCCAAAATAATTTGTGAAGCTTTTTTCTATCATGTCTGAGAATTCAATTTTTTTAAAACAAAAACAACAAAAAGGAAATATTGCTTTGATATTTTTTAGCATTATTCTAGCCCARTACTAAAACTGAGGTTCTTTAAATTGTTATCCTACAGAAAGCATTGTCATGTACTTTAAATGAATGACAAAACCAACACCACAGATCTTTAGTATATAAAATTAGCTCCACAGCAAAAATTAACTCCACTACTAACAGTAGTTTAAATTAAACTAACAGTACTGATAAAGCATGCATTTAAGCCATTACTTAAGAAGGCACACCATTTTTTCCAGTTTGCTTTTCAAATGATCTCGGTCGATGCAGACCTCTCGATAGGCTTGGTAAGCCTTATTCACTTGTTCCCGCCCAACTGAGCTGCATTCTTCTTCCAGTCGGGAGCCAAGCACCTGAAGGTTTAACACATAGCAGAAGTAAGAAGTTTTATATGTTATGCTGAGAACTGCAAAATTTGAAAAAAAAAGGAAATAGTACAGTCTGCAATATTAATCTAACAACTTTTTTTTCAGTTTAGATAATAAATTAATCAAATACACTGGGCCAAAGTTTATACAAAAGTAAAACTTTGTGTCTACAAATTCTGAAAGTTCTAACCACAYTTAGTGCTCACTAGTTTAAAGAATCATAGAACATTTGAGTTGGAAGAGGACATTTAAAATCTCATGTAGTTCAACCCCCCTGCCAYGGACAGGGACACTTTCCATTACACTGCTATGAGTTCACTGCTCTGAGTACTTAAAAAACATTCACAAGTCATGATTATTCACACTGACAATCCCTTAGTCATTTTTTTCCAGGCTCTGAAAAACTGTGAACTGCTTTTTGAAAAAGGAGTTGTAAGCACAGAAATACACAACACATACAAAGTTTAGAGAAAACCAAATCATATTGTAAATAAAGTTTTATTTCAGTGTATTTACATAAGAAAAGCCAAAAACAGAATTACTTTACAAATTTCTATTAACTTTCAGATCACCACTTTCTCACTACCTGCTATGGAAAAGACAAACAAGGCAGAATAAGCACTACCAACTACATTGTTAGAAAAAGGGAGACAGAGTTAAAATATATTCAGCATTTTTAACAAGACAGGAAGAAAAGAAGCCTTATATCAAATTAGATCCATTCATACAGAAAGTTTGTCCTTTAAGTATTACATTTTCCTTTTAATTCTTTTTATCCTGGACACTTCCTTTAAATTTAAACACATTCAGTGTACCTCTTGTAKATATTCACAACAGATTTGCACATAATTTCTTGGAGATTGAGAGCCACACAAAAAAAATTMTGAAAACAAAGCATTGACACTCATGGATCTACCTTAAATATGTAGTAAGTATTTGTTTGAAGGAAAGTATGGGAAATCAAGCCACAAAGATAGAAAGCTTCTGCTCTTTCCTTTTGTACTGAATCTCAAAGTACATGTATGACTCCTTTTAAGTTTTGTCCTTCATATTTTTCTCCCCCTAATAAAACCACTCAGATAGAACAAAAGCCTTAATAAGCCTACTGGAAGTTTCCATGCACACTGAAATTGGAAACTTCAAATGGGTAACTCCCCGTATATTTTTTAAGCATACAAGTATATTAACTGTTGATAAAGACTGAAAGTCAGTCTTCCTAATACTCCTCTCTCATAGAAACATTCTTGTGGTATTCACATACTGTAAATTTTCTCTACAGAAAACAAAATATCATCTTCAAGAGAATTAAGCTGAATATCATCTTCAAGAGAATTAAGCTGAACCAGACCAAACCAAAAGACACAAGACAAAAGGAACTGTTAAGGTCAAATCCTGTTTATTGTGATTTTGAGTAACCACATTAAAGATGTTATGTTCAGCATGGTTCAGAGAGTATTCRGTCTAAAGTTCTATTCCTATTCCCAACAAGGCAACAGACCTTACATAAAGAAAGTCCCAAGACAGATTTATTTTTTGAGAAAAAGACAATCCTGTCTTCAGCAAGAGTTCCTGAATAAGTTTTTTCAAAGTGTGCCAARTAACTCAAGTTCTTCATTCCAATGCCACAAAATGCACACTTGGAAAGTTTTTAAGAGTCAGTAGCACACAGGAGTAATTCCTAAAAAWTGTCTCAGCTCTAACACTAGGATCTATCTTTGCATCTTATGTAAGAAAGCAATCTATCAAGTCAAAAACTTCTGCAGTACAAAGACACTCACTACTGAACAATGGATGTACGTTTAATGACAGCATCCATTACTTGGAGAGAAGTGCCCTGGTCAGTTTTTAGCTTTAATGAACTTCACTAGTTTATGGCCATGAGAAACTGCCGATAAAACTAATTCCAAGATTCATTTGCATTTTAGAATTACTGCATCAAAAGCTAACCAGCCAACATCTGTTAAAGGCTGTGATTAGCTAGACCTAGCTGGATATTGTTAGCAACCAATTTTTCTTTATCATTTTGGTATGCTGAGCCCAAGAGAGTCTTTCAATAGACAGTTCCTGGATTCTTATAGTTTCCAAGCTTTGCACCTCACTGTTCACTGTGTCAAATGTGCCCAAGCTAATAAACACCATAARGAGGCACCCAAATTACAGCGATAATCCAATGCAACTACACAGCTGTCTGAATCAAAGCCACTGTCTTTGCATTGCATCATACACATGCCCATTGAGAACCAAAAATCCCAGTATGACACAACTACACTATCAGAGGAACAAGCTGCATTTCAYTTAAATAAAGCAATTCATCAAAACWTYTAAATATGGAAATTATTTCAAGCATGTATTTTAAATCCTTAACCTTGTTCTCTGCCATCCAGCCAGGAGCAAAAAAGAAGCTGCTACCAGAAACTGGTATATCAACCTCTTTCTTACCTTCTCTTCTAAAATTCTCACTTTTTTTTTTAAGAAGGAGTTCTCCTTCTCTGTCTCTTTCAGTCGTTTCTTGATATCTTCATATGCRGTGACAAGTGCAAAGTGTGAGGCAACAGACTCATCTCCACTATATGATGGAACAGGAATATCACTGTCTCTCTTGTGAGCATTGTCTGCTTTTTCATGGTTCAAAATACAGATGTCATCCTCTACCAACTCCTCCATGACAGCTGTTAAAAAGACAGATATAAGTGCTAAGTTTTCACAAAGACAAATTCATCAAGAGTTTGAAAACCTTTCAAAAAAATAATACTGCAGGGTTTTTCTGTCTAGTATGACAAGACTGAAAAAATCAGGAAGTATCTTAATCTTGCAGAAAAATTTTGAAATCCRTTTTACATTGAAAATACCCTGTTTAGAAAAGACATGTTTCACTGTTACTTGATAAAAGTATTTTGAGTACATATCAGATTTATGAACCCTCAAATTCATTTTTAYTAAGTCTTAACACCAATATAGAATTTGGCTGGTACCAACTATATGAACTCCAAAGGAATATTGTATCCGAGTTTTTGCAAGCCAGCACTGAGCAGTAAAAGAAAGTATAATTTCAACAAATCAACTACCTACCATGGCTCCTGAGCACAAGTGCCAGAGTTCCTTCATTTCTGAATGCAAATACTTATATTTTTCCCAAACTTTAAAATGGAATCTTGAAGTACACTTGCATTTGTCCTTAAAAAGATTGCATGAGTATCTATTCTTTCCAGGAAAAAGAACAACAATTACAGTAATTTTGGGCTCAAAATATGCAAATGAAAACATGCTCAGTAACATGACCTGCCTTAATATGCATGGAGAAAACTGTCGATAATCTGACCCTTAGTGAACTGTCACCCTAAAGTACCAGGCAAAGCCACCTGAATGACAAATGCAGTTACAAATGAGTTTTTGTTACAACCTACATCACGTAAGCACAGCAAAACATCCAATAAGAAAATAACATCTTAAAGAAATTCTGTATCTTTTCTTAAGCACTAGATTTCAAGGGAAAATCCCCAAATCCATCTYCCTTAACTTACTAGTTATCAGGAACAAGTTTTGGAGTTTATTTAAAAACAAGCCAACCCCCAAAACTGAAAAGGAACCAACCAAAGACACATCTCATTTAGTTATGAAAATCAAGATTCCTTGCATTTCTGTGCAATATGAAGAAATGCTACACACCCTTTAAACAAACTACTGATGTGATTCTATGAAAAGCAGACTTATTTTTTACCCCCTTCAACAAATCCTTAGATTCCTGATTAGGTAATGAACCAACAGAAATGCCAGAATGAAAGAACTGAGCATAATGAAGACAGTTTTTTGTACTGCAGGAAAAACTTACTTCAACACAAAACTGACTTGGATCTGCAGAACTTTGCAGAAAAYGAAGGCATTAGTGCAGAAAAGCCCCACAGCCACAAATGCGGCTTCTCCTGTGTATTTGCTATTTAAATTCAAACTAGACTTCCATTTGATTATAGATTATAAGAAGTAAAGGCCTGAAGCTTGTCTATATGGTCACATTTCTCTCACCATGCTAGCAACAGAACACTTACAGAGTGCAGCATTATGAAGAGYTGTAGTACATCTACTCCTGAACAGTGGTGCTGTTAACCCATTTGTCTCAATTTGCTCCAAGCCAGTTAGACAATATGATAAAAAACTGCGACAGCTCATTTATACTAAATAAGACAGGAGTGGAATTTCAACAGTGAAAAACTAAAAAAGCACTAYAAACCAAAACTGAACTCCTTTTAATGGTTATGTTCAGGAGGTGAATAGATGCCTTGTATATTGTTTGGTGCATTCTGACAAAAAAAAAAAGTAGTCTAAGCTTCCCTTATTTGTTTTTCTGCCTTGAATATTTTGTGTTTTCTATGATAATTAAGTAGAAAGAGCCCTGCAAAAAAGGTTTGGTTCCTTTTCATTGTAAGAACAGTATCACTTCATGCACAAGGTRACCTTGACTAAAAGCACCACATCATTCAAACTGCATTAACTGACTGAAGGAATTGCTCATTTTGTCTTCCAAGATGAGCATAACACACCAGCTTATCCTCCCCCATTTCACCAAAGGCCCTGCAACTCTTCTCACCCATCTCATCAAATTCCCAAGAGCTTGCCTTCTCAAGGCAACACATCTCCTTTTCTCCGAACACTTGACTAAAATGTTGTTAAAGAAGTGTCACAGCTTATCATTATCTCTCGARGGAAGCAGCAAATTTGTGACCTTGTACATAAAATAGATCTTTGTCCCCATGCTTCTCTATGGCTCCTAAACCTGGGCATCATAAATTCCATATTTCTTGCACTCATCAGTTCTACCAGGAGATGGCAATATGGGAAAAGAGGAGACAACATCAGAAGACCATATTTATTCYGCATTTTGTTAACCAGAAGTGCCTTTAAGAGCTTCCAAGAGAGAAACTCCTTCCAAAGAASACTCAGCATACACAAATACTATTTTATAAATTCAGACACATGTTTAACTGGTACCTGCTAAGAATATCAGTTGCATTTTTTTCTTTGAAAGATCTCATTTAGTTTATAGGATTATTCAACTTGGATTTTCTGATGCCGCTCTCTAAGCCAGAACTGGAKATTTTTTAGAAGAGAAGCATATMATTCCACATAATTCAGAAGGATTTYGTTTGCACACTTTTCTAAATTTCTACACCCACARTAACAGCTCAGAAAACGGTATTGCATACTAAGTGATGACAAACTGCCATTAAACAGTTCAGGATCAGCAATACTATAAAGGCCATGGTGCAATGTACAGCTCACCCAGCTTTTTTTGCTGTCAGGACAGAGAGAAACACTTAGGATACAAAAAGGGGCTATATCTGTAAGAAATCCCCAACTACAGCTGTAGTCTCTAATTTCACTCAAAAACATGAATCAAAATTTAGATTCTCCACTATTACCTCATTTAAAAAATATTAGCTGCAAGCAACAAAGAAGCGTTTGGATTATTCCACAAGTTACGACTCCTTGGATCTGGCAGAAGGGTGCCAGAAGGGCTTGCAAGATGGCTCAGCAAGTCCAACCACTTAAGCCCTGTTTTAATCTGTTTGACTTCTCTTAATGTAAAGCCATGCTTGTATGCACTGCTGCAAATGCCCCAGAGCTGTCACTCTGAAGCACCTGAGTGAATTTTGACCTCTCTGGGGTTGCAGTTCATGAGATATTCTGTACTATATAGATCTGTACTAGTAACCAGTTCAAGTGAAAGATTTCTCACTAAAATATTTGAAGAAATATACTGACAAGTTAATGTCTATGAATACAATCCATGTCCATCTTGGCCTCCTTAAAGCAAGCTTTACACTCCCATTTACCACACATCCCATCATCCTGAGAAAGGTCTCCCTAACACTTTACATTTTACTCCCTTTACTTCAGCACASTAGCTAAACACTTTGCCTGAGACAAAAGTATTGCATTTACGCTTTAGAATGACTGGCACACGAAGTAGCCTACTCAAAAGGAGTTTAATTTAATCTTCATGTCCAAAAATAAAGACATTGAGTGAGTATCAGTACTACTGGTTGTATTAAACAACAAACGAACAAAAAGCCCAACCTGAACACACTGTTGACAGGACACAGTATTAAGTTCTAGCAGGACTAATTACGTTCCCTGTTTATACATGAGTTTGAAGAGGTGGCACCATTTAAGTTCTCTTTCACATAATGTGAGGAAGAGTTTACAGGAACCACTTCTGTTGTTCATTGATGCTCAAYATAGGTTACAGAACAGCTTTGATTTAATATAATAAATACCTTGAGAAAAAGAGCATTTTCCTGTATCCTACTAATGCTTGGCAGAAAAACAGCTTTTCTCTTTACAGAGCTTTATAAGTACTACTCATTAACACCATGGGAGGCAGTTAAACATAAAACACATTCTACATATGAGGAACATGGGATGCAGAGGCTCTAATAGCAAACAGACTACTGCATAAACACATCTCTGTAGTTTGAAATGCTAATCTTATTCTCAGATCAGAAGAAATAGTAAAAGCAGGATTATATTAAATTTTTCCCAGTATGAAGCAGATTCCCATTTTGGCCTAACCGTTGATTTGAAAGAGAACAGAACAATGTTCAAAATACTTCCAAACGTCAAATGCAAATAATTTCAAGATGGTTGTTTTACTGTTTACCTTCCAGACTCAAGKGGTTTGACTTAATAATGGTAGTATGTTTCCAACTGTTAAGAACGTAATTTTTGTACTGGTTTATCTTGCTTTACATAGAAAGATATACATACACACATGTATATATAAAAATAAAACTTWAAATTCAAGAAATGCCTTTGAACCACAGGAGTCTTGAGTAAGCATATTAAAGCTCTCAAYTT